TTAAAATCACAATACATGCCATTTTCTGAGAGGAATGTAGTTTAGTACAAATGTTTTTGAAATCTCAGTTGCATCTTAGTGTTTAAGCTGTTTTTCTTCAGCACTTCTTCAAGCTACATGATTTAATAAAACTGAGAATGCTTAAAATGCTTGCTCCTCCTGAAGGAGACCACAGCACATGATAAAAACTAAGGTTACTGCACATTTTCTGTGTGTCTCAACTTGATGATATACCCAAGTATTAGATTTATTTTGTAAAAATTGTCCAATGTTTGTTTATGTAGTCCTTACTTTTCATTAGATCTATATTTACTGTGGACTGTGGCTGGGCCACTCCAAAAGACTGAAAGTACTTTCTGTCAGAAAAAATAAAAGTAAAAAAGGTGCTTTAAGACTAAATCTCCCATTAATATGAATGCAATTTAGCTTGTCTGAACATAAACTACTAACATTTTTATGATGCTCTTTTTTGAGTTGCTCAAAGGACATTTTAATAGCTTTATAGCTTGAGTCACAGCTCATCTGCTTAACCGTTCTTTTTGCTAGACAGAGCCACCTATAGAGCTAGTTTCCCATTACCATTCAAACCTAGAAAGTATTTATTGATCACTGCTTCTATGTTCCCTTTGTGTGTCTGCCTCTATCTTCTTGAACCCCCCCATCAACCGTGGCAGAAGGGTGCTCAGACTGAGTCTGGTTCTACTGCAGGTTTCTCCCTGTTAAAAGGGAGTTTGGGTTTTTTCCCCCCATTGTTGCTGCATGCATGCATGCCCCGTATGACCAATTGCTGTAAAGTCATCAACACTATCCAAGTAAATATCTAAGGTTGTTACATGTTCATCCAGAAGGGATGCTTTCTGCAAGGTTAATGACTTAATGCACTGCAATAAACAATCTAGAAATATGTGTCCATACCCTTATTTTGGGTAGGTAAATAAAATAATTTGCCAATGGAATTTGTTTTTTTTACACTCAAAGATAAGATAATCAAATAATATGCACTTGAAATAAGAATGCAATTGTTTTTTTCTTATCATATTCAAATGTAAATTGTTTTTGTTCCATCAGCAGTGTCTTGCTTACCTTTTCAATTCAAGGCAAAATGCACTTGTTTTAAGAAAGAATTACTTGTTGAGAATTCATTTTTAATACATAGAGTATAGAAAACCTTGAGCAATCTGTCTATAAGATTTGATTAAATTGTCTCTCTAAAGTGCACTGAAGTAAGATGTTGTATATAGAAACCATACATCAACTGAACTCAGTTGTTGCCCTAAAGAACAAATATAAGGTCTTAGTGAGATGTGTACAAGATCATTTTAGTATGTAATGATCACAGGTAGAATTCTACTTTTGCTGTTAAAAAATCTGAAAAAGACTATATATGTACATAACTAAAACTCTTTCTACTTTCATATTTGTTTAATTCTAACCAAAGCCAACCAGCATTCTCTAATTAAAAAGGAAATGCTTTAAATCAGATATTCCCTTAAATGTTAAATGAAAATGTAGATATCATCGTGCAGTCACTGCAGTTGTCCTCTGAAATCAGAAGCAAAGATAAAAAAACATCAAAGCCCTCCTTTTGAGAAGTGTGAGGCTTTCTGGCCTTCTGTAAAGGAGCTATTCACACGAATAACACGACATGTGTAATCCTCCTGACAAATCAGTAAATCTCTCTGTTGTTTGCTCCTTTGTGGTTGAATCCTGCAGAGATACATCCCTGAGATCCATGGCCTGCTTTATTAACCAGTTTTTGCCTTAATTAACTAATAGGATTGTTTTAACCATGATCCAAGAACAGAATAGCCTACGGGAAGACAAACACCGACTGCGTGGATGTGTTTGTGTGTGTGTGGGGGGGTGTATGCATGTATCCAAGATTGAAACCTTAAGCCTGTATTCTCTCTGTCAAGAGTGAGTCGATGAGATGTGTGTTAATGTGCACAAGTGCATACATTTGGTGTGACTGATTGCTGTTTGTGCCTGAGTGTACATGCACGAAAACCATTCACGTGCGTGTGCATTTGTAATCTGAAGCAGCAACCTCTCTCTCTTTCTCTCTGCCTTAATTAATGTAGCATCTCGCAAGACTTTCCCAGTGAATATGAAACAATTTTACCTGATGATGCAAACAGCTGAAAACACTGCCTCGCTTCGTGCCTCTACGCTTCACCTTACACTTTCTTATTATGCGAGAGCGTTAATAGATGCTACTGCTACACATGTACTTTTCACATCTGTGTATTTTAGTGGTGCAGCGATTGCCAAAAGACTTATTTTGCTTCAGGAGATGTGTGTGTGTAAGCAAAATCCTTTGTAGAGTGTGATGAAAAAAGCAGTACCACAGCTCGGCAAGGATGTTCCTGCAGAACAAGAGCTGGCTTACACATCCTTGCACAGATGCACCCTCTACAGCACACAGATTTAAGCCTCCAAGAAGTCCGTGGAAAACCTTGAAAAGTGGGCTAGATGGAGACAAAGCAAGAGGCACAGACGAATTACAAATATGTGCTGTAAATCTGGGGGTTTGAGCAGCACTAAAACTTTAAAATGATTAACAAGATTTTATTAACTAAAATATCTAAATCCCAGTGTTTCCTTCCCCCTGGCTAATATACTATACATGAGGACTACAGTGAGTTAATATACCTTTTCACTACTTGTTATAAAGTCACATGCTAAATCAAACCATAAATATACCTACCTTAAACTCGATAAAAGCACCAAACAAATTACCCCAGCTGCTATTATTTAGACAGACATGAGTCAATAAGATCAGCAAGACTGTGTGTAGCTCAGTAGGGCATAATAAAGAATGGCAGCTCATGGCCGAGACGCAATGAAGAGACCCTAAAATTGATTTCCCTCTTTGTCCTTCTGTTGCAGTGTGCTGTGTGCGATTCTCCCAGGAGCCGGCCGACCAGTCCGTGGTGCTGGGAGAACGGGTGGTGCTGTCCTGCGTGGTCTTCAACTATTCGGGCATCGTGCAGTGGACCAAGGACGGCTTGGCCTTGGGCGTTGGAGAGGGTCTTCGAGGTAAAGTGCAGAAAGAAATCCTGTAATGGGTGAAGAAAAAAAAGCACTGCTTTATGAGCTGCAGAGATCAAAGGGGAGTATAGAGGGGGATTTGATATGGTTTTGGTTCAGATTTGACAGAAATAAATCTGGCAATATGGTCTAATGGTTGAAAAGTTTAGTTTTTAAGGAAATTATCCACGTACCATGCAGGAGAGAGTTAAATGCCCAAAAGCTTGCTTGACTGACAATCTGGGCAAAAATGAGTCCAACATTTCATGGTGAATTAGAGAAAATCCCTTACACTGCTCACAAAAGCAGACATGCATTTGCATTTACATTTTAAGCTGACACGCACATCTGGACCAGCTTATTGAGAGCGAGACAGAAGAATACCCTTTAGTTCAGAGAAGGGAACGCATCACAAGAAACCAAAAAAGCATAAGGTCATGAGGTCAAACCCTTTCCACAGAGAGTAGCAATTCTTTCTAGTGATCCCAAAAGTTAGAGATACCAAATTAATCAATTAATGGGCCAGAACGAAAAAAAAAAGACCTGTTATTTACTTTTTACAAAATCTCAGTCGATTTAAATACTAGTAAATAGAGTTTTTACTAAATAGAATTAAACACATATCTATCAACAGGTACAGCTGTCAGATATAGATGTTTCCCCAAATACTCAGTGTCATGGTTTTGGTTCTGTTCAAGTTTTATCCCCGAGTTTCCATTGGTCTTATTTCCATTTTTGTGTTCTAGATAATTCTTCTTTTACCCTCTTGTGTCAGACTCCTTTTCCCTGCCTCCTTTCTAGCCTCTGTTAGCCTGCTCTTTGTTTCTCTCTCCCACATATTATCCTCCTGTTCAGTCACTCTTTGCTGGTTTGTCATCATTTCTTGCCCCCTTGTTGTGCGTATTCCTGATTTTCAATATTTTTGGATTTTGAAGATTTATGTTTTGGGATTTTTGCTTTTGTCACCCTTTTTTGTTTAATTAAATCTTGCAAGAAACCACCTCAGCTTCAGTCTCTGCATTTGGGTCCTGTCAAACATTCACTAAACTTGACACTCAGTTGACAACTGAAAAAGAAATTCTAATCCTTTTAAAATACTGATGGTTTAGTGCAACATGATAATAGATTTAAAGTTATTTTTTGGGGTCAGACAACAGGGTGGGAGTAAGGAAACTATGGCCAATTATAGCTCCTCTTCAGCAAGACAGTCTTACATGAGGGTATTTTCTACAAATAAAAGTTACAGTGAGGTGTTAAAAATTTTATTTGTGTTTGATTTAATTGTATAATTAATTAACTTCATATCTAGGACTAAAAGTAAAGGAGATGTGGTCAAATGGCCTTTAGCCTAGAACTCAAAAACCAAGAGGACCCATCTAATGTCCAATAAGGTTTCAACATATTTCAAGAAAGAGTTGCTGTGAAAAAGCTATAAAGATTACATTAATACACACATGGTCAAAACCACGCAGCTATGTACAAAACTCTAGTAACCTAAGGCTGTTTCAAAGGGCTAGATTTTAAAAATCATTGGGCAGTTTTGAAAGCTTATGAAACCCCAGCAATATCAGTTATACAGCAGTTGTGCTGTCTCCTGCCACTTGGCTAAGACAACACATTACATACAAGCCAGTTTCACCCAAAACATTTAGCTGTCATATGAAAAAGCTCAGCAAACCTGCAAAAATCCATCTCTTACTTGTTGCAACAGGGATTTTTTTCTACTGCTATGTCATTTTACAGATTCTGTAAGAAGAACAGTTATATTTCATGCCTTTATTAAGGGCCTACCTTTTTTTGCAGTGTATCTGGTAAAGCTGCTGGTTAGACGAGTTGGTGAAGGTAAATCCAGCTGTTTAGAGCAAAATCTGCCCTAAACCTCACTGCGGCTGCTGCTTTGTTAGGAATTGAAAGGATAATTAGCTAAATAATCGTATTTTCTATGATAAGAAAAGTGGTCCTGACACACTTTTTGAGCAGACTTCACATTTAACAAACCAAACAATGCAAGATTATTGCCCTTATTATAAGGGCCCTAATTATTTAATTGAATTAATTCTGTTGTCAACAACAAGAAACAAAGCCAAATACATATCTATAATGCAGTTCAGTTCCATCAGGGAGGTTTGTGAATTTATGCTGTCATCATGTCTATGAGTAAAATCCTAACCTCATTAAGAACTACCTGCAGTGTAAACCTGAACAAGTTATCATGAAGGAGTTGAGGTATGCTCTCCACATACTCCTGATCTAAGCATCATTGAGATTACATGAAGAAACAGACAGAATGTAGAAAGCCTAAAGCCACAGAAATTCTATGATAAATTCTTGAAACGCGTATGCAGAGAGCGGTTTTGCTATATTTGCTATTATAAATGCCTAAAAAGTAGCTTTAATATGTTTTTTAAGTAAGAAAGTCCACCTTAAAACTTAATCTGTGCACTCAGTTCATCGAGATTACGATCCTGCCTTTAAATATTATTTTGCCATCGGACCAGCATGAAACCTATGTACACCGCCAATGCTCTGTCACTGGGAATCCCCTTCAGCAGTTGCTTCTGGCCCGGTCACCTTTTGGGGGTTTCCTGCTGCTGTTCATGGCGGCTGGAAGGAGATGTTAGCGGCCTCATGTTTTCAATTCACACTGTACACACCAGTATAATAAAAACTAACACATCTTGCCAGCAAGTTTCTACATTTTAAGTTAATTTAGGCATTAATAAACTGTTTCAGGGGAGAGATAATTGGGGTTTTGGTTCGGCGGGGTTTTTTTTTTTTCCTTGCCGGCCCCAGATCAGCTTCTCTGATTGGTTGCTGTGGCACGTTGAGCAGCAAAAGTTAAATATTTCCAACTACAGCAACTGTTGCTGGTGGGGTGCGTGTCAGATGCTCAGAAGCGCCAAGAAGCGCTGCTCCTGCTGCGGGACGTTTTGCTGCGCTTTGATGCACGTCAACCATAGATTTTGCATGTAAACCAGCTGCTTTTACTTCCTCTATCGCATGCGATCTGAACGTAGCATTAACCAACTTCCTCCCAATTCTCTGTACCTCAAACAATTGATTCTGTTTTGAAATCAAAAATTGGTCAATTCTGATATCACTTTATGAACACTTATCTTCTGTTAATGATTGCCATTTTGTTAACTAATGTGAGCTATTAAGTGTTTCATTTTGGAAATCATTCTTTGTTTATAGCCTTTTTTTTTTTTTTACTCCTGCTTAAAACTGCTACAAAATACCCAATCTTGTGCCACTAGATTTTTGTTACTCCCTACTAAACATGTCCATTATCCACTTGTTACTAGATAGCTCAAGGGCTTCCTAAATTTGCAAGCGAGCAGTGTTATCTGAAAAAAGCTGCAGTTGCAGTGGTTCAAATGTACCTCTCTGTTTAGCTGTCAGGGAATCCGAGAAGAGAAAGTAAGCTTTGGCCGAGGCTCCAATCACTGAGGTAGATAAACTGCTGATTCAGATTGATATATTTTGGCAGTGAAGAGAACACTCTGAGGAACTCCTGAATCCCACCAACACATCCTCTGTCAGAGAAGGCAGAGCGTCAGAGGAAGTTAAGAAGCTCCTTAGTGACAAGGTGCTGTGCCTGGATAACATTCTTCCAGAGCCGATAAAGGCTCTGACACTAAAGTGCAACTCTGGCTGACATGACTTTTCAAGTCACGTGGGAGGTCAAGAAAGTGTCAACAAAAGGGCAGGAGTGTCCTGTTCGTTCAGATGTGCCACACCACTCAATGTCCATGAGTAAGCTGAGGAGGGTATCTGAAAAGCAAATGTCCTTATAAACTCAATCTGACAATAATTTGTTATTGTTTTTTTTTTTCTAACAATACCTTAACGTACCTAATTAATGTTAATACTGCATTTAGTTTAAATCTAGTTTGGTTTACCCTTTGGTTAAAGGTTTTCTAACTAAAAACAATCCAACTAATTACATTGAGTCAATTACTTTTTGTTTCCTTGCAAATATCCCCTTGAGTGGCAAAACATCCAAGAGTATAAAAACATTTAATCTGTTTTTTGTGCAACAGCTTTTAATTAGTTTAATGTCTATAGAGCCACTGCGATAGCTGTAGTTAACTCCTACTCCTAGGATCACCTTGATCGCTAGTCTGTGTTTTATTTAACATAAATGGTAATTATTTAAATTTAAACTCAATAACCACATATATGGCATTTTCTTGTCAGAAAGCTCAGATTGTGTTTATATTTTTCTGGGCTCAAGTAAAAGTTGCTGAATTTAAATGTACACTAATACCAAAATTCTCTGACCCAGAACACAAATACTGAAATATTTAGTGTTACTTATGGTTCTGTGGATGAATAAGCTGATGATAAATTTTAGCAACTCATAGCTATACTGCAACTTTTTGCTTATTGAGGCTTTTAAATTCACATTTTATCATCTGCTGAACCACTTAAACATAATTGCTGATTAAAGGGGAGGGATGCAGTTCAGTACATGGCATAAGAGCAGAACATAACTGAACATAACAGGCATTTATTTAACTGATGTTTTTAAGGAAAAAAACATTAATCAAATCAAATCACTACATATGGTGGAAGTCTTGAGTTCAACAGTGCTTTTAGAGGACCCCAGTTCCTGACTTGCTCCCCAGACTTAGCAGCAGCTCAGACTGGGAAGCAATTTCTTCCCCAGATTAACCATCAACACTGGCACCCAATAGGGCTGTGTTCTCCTCCCACTATTCTTCTGTTTGTATACAAATGATTGCACTTCAGTTCGGTAAAATAACTAGAACTATGTCAATTCTGCATAAAAGAGGAGGTGAACTGGTAGATCCCCTGGTGAGATTAAGGACCACCTGGAGCTCATACAGTAGGAGTTGGATGTTTGACCTCTGGAGCAGGGTTCCTTTACCCTGGTCGTTAGGCCCCACTGTCCTGCATGTTTAAACGTGCTTTCCTGCCTCACCACACCTCATTTGAATGAAAAGGTGATCTACAGGCTTTTAAAGCATTTAAAGGCTGCCGAG